TTTAACTTAGGCTATAATACTATATTAATTTTAAGTTTTTATATTTTTTTATATTTATAATAATTATTTTACTTATAATAAGATTTATTATAAAGCTAGTTTTATTAAAGTTATAAATATTAATAAGATTAATATTATACTTTATAATTATATTCTTTATAAGTTTAAATTAGTTATAAATAATAATTAGATTTTTATATTTAGCTTTCTAATAGTTATATTTATAAAAAAATATATCTTAAACTTTTAATATTATCTAATAAAATTAGAAGTTTAGTACTTATTAATAAGTAATATATTATAGTTAGTAAGTAATTAGTTAGCTATTTTTTTAATATTATATAATTATAGGGGAAATTCTTATAAATTTAAATTAAGAATAAATTAAATAATAATTTATTCTTCTAGATTAAATAGTCTTTATAAATTAGGGATTATATTATATTAAAATTAAATATTCTACTATTAGTAATACAATTTATACTTATTAATCTTATAGATAATTATAATATATTAAAAACTTAATTTTAAGTTATTTTAAAAAGCTTAAAAAGTAAGAAAACTTTTTACTTTAATATTTAGTTATAATATACTTAGTAGTTAAGATTTATATAATAAAGTAGAAAGTTAGGTATTTAAGAAAAAAGTATAATACTTATTTATCTATAATACTTACTTATTATATATATTATATTTTTTTTATAAAGTTAAAAAGTTAAAATTAAATATCTTTAATAAACTTTAAAAATACTATAATTAAATTATAATATAACTTTCTTTCTATTTTATAGCTAAATATAAGGCTTTTTATTTATTAATATCTTATTATACTATTTTCTAAAGCTTATTTATACCTCTTTTACTAGTAATTAATTAATTATTTTTTATTTTCTAAATTACTTAAGCTTTAATATAATTAGTTTTTATTTTATTTCAGTTTAAATAAGCTATTATCTCTTTTTTAATTTACTTTCTTAAGTTTATTAAGGTAATATAATATTTCCCTATTTACTTATAATTAAGATACTACTTAAAGCTTTTTTTAAAATATTATAAAAGTAGCTTTATTATTTTTAAATACTGCTAATTACCTATAAAATTCCTATAACTTTAGGCTTTATACTAAGTATCTCTAGATATAATATATCTCTAGTAAATTATCTATAAGTTATTATATTTAAGAAGTAGAGATAAAGCTGAGTTTTATAAAGATAAAAATAGTAATAACCTATAAAAAGAGATTATAAGTAATAAAAATATAAATTCTATAGATAGCTAAAAGAATAATTGTATAGATAATTTAATAGTAGTTACTTTTTAAATAGCTAGCTCTAATTTAATAGCTAATTATAGTAAGTATTTTAAAGTTATATTAAATATAAATTTAAGCTTTTTTAGAATAATAACTAACTGCTATTATATCTACTTAAATATTATTATTAAAGGTAAAAGTAGCTACTCTAATACTAGGTTTAATATCTACTATAAATATTATAATTAAGTTTTTAGCAGTTTTAAAAAAACAGTTAGTAATACTCTTAATTCTAAATATCTTAATAGATAATTTAACAGTAAAAAAAACAAAAATAACACCTAACTTATTAACTTATACTAGGAAATTTATATAAAAAGTTATTATATAGATATCTTAGCTAGTTAATTTAAAGCTATATTAAATTATATATATAAAGTTAAATTAATTTAAAATATATATCTTTTAATAGAAAAATATCTTATAAAATTAAATATTAAATTAATTATAAAAAAGTTTACTAATAAGATATTAATTAGACTTATAACAGCTTAATATCTAAAGAAAGTTAAAAAATAAAAGTTAGATAAAAATTATAATAATAGTAAAAATAAACTTAAATAAATCTCTTAAAATAAAAAATAAAAAAAAGTAAACTTCTAAGCTATTTAAAAGCCTATTAATCTCTTTAATATCTAACTTAAATTTCTAAAAAACTAAAAACTAATCTTATTTTATCTTTTAATATAAGTTTCTTTTATTTTTTTTATTTTAATTTAAACTACTTTAATAGCAAAAAGAGATAAAAATAACACCTAATTTATTAACTTACTCTAGGGAAATTTACATAGAGAGTCATCGCATAAGCATCTTAGCCAGTCAGCCCAAAGCTACACCAGATTATACATATAAGATCGGATCAATCTGAGGCTTATATCTTCCAGTAGGAAAGCATCTCATAAGATCGAATATCAGGTCGGTTGCAGGAAAGTTCGCTGGCAAGGCATCAATTGGGCCTGCGGCAGCCCGATATCCAGAGGAGGTTGAAGATAGAGGTTGGACAAGGATCGTAGCAACAGCAAAGATAGACTCAAATAAATCTCTCAAAATTAAAGGCAAAGAAAAAGCAGACTCTCAAGCTGTCCAGAGGCCTGCCGGCCTCTCTGACGTCCAGCTTGAATTTCTAAAGAACTGAAAACCGATCTTGTCCTGTCTTCCAGCACAGGTTCCTTTCCTCCCTTTTATCCTGATCCGGACCACCCTAGAGACATCCCCGCTCGCGACCAGCTAGCTCAAGCGTCCCTGACCGCCTGTCACAGTGGCCATCTTGAGCTTTGTGCAGTTATTGCAAGGTGCATTCCCATCACACCGAATCTTGCGCCTCCTACACTGCTCGCAGGTAAGGGCAAGCCTCCGCCGTTTCTTCTTCAGCCTCTCCAACGGTGCCTCGGGCGATGAGTCGGACATGGGGTCTAGGTGAGGGAGAGCCAAGGAGGATAAGGCGGCCATTGGGTAACGCAACAGCAACAAGTGCTGCGGAGGGCATCAATGGGCTTTGAATAACAAAATCAACGGCGGGGAAATTGAGGACCAAAAAGTCTCCAGAAAAGGTAAGGCAAGAATGAAATACGCGATCAAGGCGACAAGACTGACTCATATGCTGCTGCACCAACGGAGCTAGACGTTCGGACCCGGGAATTGAAAAGAGCGAAGAGATATAGGCTCCTATTGGCTAATATTTTCAATTTACCGAGTCATGGCAATTCGCCGACCGACTTACACGGCGCCATGAGAACCAAACAAGGGAGCCTGAAGGATCAGCAGCGGGATTTCCTGGTCGGTCTTGGTGCTGACGAAGGAGAAAAAGGAAAGAAGAAATGAGTAGTAAGATGATCGCGTGAGGATTCGTCAGCACGGGCTGCTTCGGGGCAACTGATACATGGGCACCTACAGTCCCCTCTTGAACCCCTCGACCAACTGAGAGACTCACCATGAATCAAGGCCAGAAGGTGTTGGTAATACCTATGGGACCCTTGATCCTACCATTCTAGGTTGCATTGAATCTTATCATGGCGTGTTGGGGGACAGGACGCCGGCTGTACGGGACCGAAAGGGTGTCTGGGTGATGGCATGACAGCCGATTGGCCTTTGTGATGGTTCTACAAAGATACTACTTCATAGACGACGTGACGTATCTGCCTTCTCTAGCGTACTACTTCTATGGGTGGAATCCCAAGCCCGGTTGTCACAAGGGCCAACAACGAATGACCTTACTTCCTAAATACCACGGAAGACGGCGAGAGACGGCGTGTGGAGATAGCCCGGCGTTTGCGATAGTAGGCTCGGTTGAGGACAAATCGGCACAAACTTTATTATCGCCGAGCGCCGAAATTAATGCAGTCGGAGCTACATGCCGAATATGTGCCAGACAGCTAGACCCTAGTTCTCTCGGTAGGGTTAAATATGATGGGAGAGCATGACGGTATGCCATCAAATCGGGACATGGTTTCTAGTTGGGGTTCTTTTTCATGCCTGCCATAGCCTCCACACTGCACACTGGGACGATCTCTCTGAGAATGTGCAAGGATGGAAGATGAAGATGCATCCAAAAGCTCTGCGACTCAGCAGAGCCGGGCCTTGACGTCTCCGGAAGCCTCCCTTGCTCTGTCGACGCAGTACCGGACCACTGTGCGGTCTTGCCTGACATGCCACCACCGCAAGATCCGCTGTGACAAGAGATCGCCGTGTTCGAATTGTGCGCGCAACAATGTCTTGTGTTGCTATCCTGGGATTGAGCAGGTTCGTCACCGCCCACAGAGGACGACGATTGGTGAGATTTCCGCACGTCTCGCACGCCTCGAGCGGACAATTTGTGCTATCACAGAGAATGGGCCAACAACACCAGACTTGGACCGCAAACCTGCCGCAGAAATCACCGCTCCGCACAGCGATGGGGCAACGGGTGAGGGTCCGAGGGCGGAATCGTCTCCTGAGGAGCTGCTGGTGCAGGATGGCGATACAAGTCGCTACATCAATGAAGTTATCCTGTCGCGAATTCTAGACAAGGTACGTGCCACTCTGTTATACATGGACATGGAAAGTCGAGGCTGATTCATCGACTGGCCAGGAACGAGAGCTCCAGGCGGTCATGAGGAGTTCCAGTGTCAATAGCACCAGGGCCGGGAATCCATGGTCGTCTGATATCGGAGGCATATTTCATCACTTCAATCCATCCGCGACTGACGTGCAAGGCTGCTATCCAGGAAGGTGGCATGCTTTGCAGCTATGGCGAACCTTTCTCAATAACGTTGATCCTATTATCAAAATCCTTCATATTCCAACCGCCCAAGCGACCATTTATACGGCGATAAACAACCCAGCCAACGCGGATGCTGATCTGCATGCGCTCCTGTTCGCAATATACTTCGCCGCAGCAACTAGTCTATCGGCTGCCGATGCGTCTAATTTACTTGGGCAAGACAGAAGCACGAGTCTGACCAAATTTAAGCAAGGACTAGAGCATTCTTTGGCGACCGCCAACATATTTGACTCACCAAGCTTGACATCATTGCAAGCCATAACAATATACATTGTGAGTAGGTCAACCTGTTTTGGGATGGAGACACACTGATTCTCGGTCAACAGACATGTCTCCGCGCTTTCAATACCGGGCGAGCAGGCTGGGCACTCAATGGTCTGTCTATTCGACTTGCTCAATCAATTGGCTTGCACAGAGATGGAAGCAACCTTCGTCTTTCTCCTTTTGAATCAGAAATGCGAAGGCGTGTTTGGTGGTACTTGTGTGCTGGAGATTCACGTGCACCAGAAGACCTTGGGATTTCTGTCTGCAATGCCGATCAATCTTCTGACACGTGTTTGCCGCTCAACATCGATGACAATGAGCTGTCTCCCGACATGCAAGACCTGCCGGCGCCGAAGCCGAAGTGGACCGAAATGACCTTCACCCTTATTAAGATCGAGGTTTGCTCGATGATTCAGAAGGTCACCCAAAGGCCAGCAGCGTCTTCTGATGGCGTACGAAGTGAGTCATCTAGGGCTCAAGTCCTAAATGATTGCAGAACCCGTCTCGAACATAAATACCTCAGATACTGTGATGACAATATCCCAATACAGCGAGCGTCATCACTACTAATACCCCTAATCCTAGCGAAGCTGGAGTTTGTCTTACAACAGCAGTCATCATGGCATCACGGTTCACCGAAAACCGCATCCGATGCGAACGAAGACACTCTGATATCAGCCTGCCGGTTACTGGAGATGAATCTAAACCTGCAAAGAGATGAGCTATTGAGAGGCTTCCACTGGTATTTGGGGACCTACACTCAGTATCATCTTCTTACGTACTTACTCTGGTACCTTTGCGTAAAGCCCGACGGGCCGAACGTGGAGCGGGCATGGAACGCACTTGACTGCTCCTTCCAACTCGCGGAACATAGCCAACTTACCACTGAGCCAGAATCGAAATGGACAATTCTTCAGCTACTGAGAAGGAAAGCCTTACTCACACGGGAGACGTACAACGCGGCTCTCGCACAGGGATTTGGGATGGCATATTCGGCTGGCGAATTCGGCGATCCTGCCGATATTAAACTAAGCGAAACTTGGAACTGGGACATGACCAACCCCGCGGGTTTCCAGGAATGGAGCAACATGGGTGCAGGGTTTTGATATAGCTCGTAGGTCTTGAGGGGTAACTAGATCAGAGAGAATCTCTCATTTTCAACATACATATTCGGCTCTAGTGTACTCTAGTGACAAAAGGCCGTTTTCCGTAACTAGAAACTCACCAAATCAATATCGTTTCGTTCTTTTAGCAACGGCAGGAGTCATCCCATATACCAAATTTTTGCATCCGCCTTGCCGCTATTCGATCAGCAGTTCTAACTTGTCTGTCCCAGGGTGCATTTCGTCCTGACGACCTCAGAAGCACGTCGGCCACGTCAGCGATGGATTGCTCTTTTTTTTTTCTAAACGTTGATCGATGGTTGAGGAATAGTATCCGGAGAGAAAGCAGTATCACGTTTGAAGTCTCGAAAGTCTTCGGATTTAGATGTTGAACATGGATAGCGCCGCACTCCTCTCATAAATGCGAGGGATTTCAACTTACTGGTCCTGGGAAGCAGTCAGGGTGGCACAGGCCCCTATTAGATCTTTTTAGCTAACTAATCTGCCAACCATTCTATGCATTACTATACTATGTACACTGTGTACATTTGTCGCGACCGCGATTCTAGCACCGATCCCTTCTAATATCAAGTCCGATCGATAAGCCCACCTAATCTATATGCCAACAGTATGCGAAATCCTACTCGAAGCCAAGTTTGAGGAGAGACAAATGAAACATAGAGAAAATTCCGAGACAAAGGAGAGAAAATTCCGGGGAAACCCGAATCCAGTATAAAGGACGCGCACCTTCTTCCATAATCGTATAGGTGTGTACCCTGACAGATACCAACCTAAAACTTCGTCCTGGGGTTGAAGCCAGCGGCCGAGAATCGTGCTAGGAGCGCTAAGACAGATCCAACGGCGCACATGACTCCGGCGAAAACCTTTACGCCCCAATAGCTACCATTGTCTGAAGATACAATGGCTCCACCGATGGGACTCGTGGTCAGAGCGCCAACAGACATCATGCCGAAAAGCAGACCCTGTCGCATGCCGATCTTATGAATGGGGGAGATCTGAGCGATAAGCACGGGGCCCAAAGAGATGAAGGCGCCGGAGGAGAATCCGAAGAGCGCAGCAAAGGTGATAATGGCAGCATTGCTGGATGCTGGAATCCATAGGGCCAGGATGAGAATTGCGGTAAGAAATGAAACTACGATGAAGATGTTGAATCGTCCCAATTTGTCCGAGAGGATACCAGGGATGATTCGTCCAAACAAGCTAGAAAATAAGGGCGTAAGCATACTTTCAAGTTTTTTGGGTCCACCGTAGATATGAACATCCCACTTTGGGAGAAAGACATACCTCGCCGCGTTCAGTATGGGAACTAAGTAGTTAGCCAAGTTCGTCGACATGCCCCCAGAAATGGCCTGTGTAATGATGTAGTTAATGGGAATAAATAAGCCAAATGTAAATAGGAAGTTGCCCGCAGCTGTGAGGACGAAGGTTTTTTCCCTGAGGGGTGCGATGAACTCCTTAAGGGTGATGGGTGGCTGCGGATGAGGTGAAGTACGCGTTTTGACCGTCAGGTTGGCAATGATGAGCAGTCCGAGGATCATGAAGGCGGCGATTCTCATAGACCATCCAAACCCGACCTTAGGAATTAGGTGGTTGATCATGATAGGAAAGATGATTCCGCCTGTACTCGAACCGCTCATTGTTATCCCGAAGGCATGACCACGTTTGAGGTGAAACCATGTAGCAACAGCACTGAGGGCTTGAAATCGCAATATAAGTCAGCCGTCAGGTCCTTGTTTCCGTGAACGTCACACTCATCGACAGATATTGAGAGCAAGACTTACAGGGTGTAAAGACAGCAGATGCCCCTATGGCACTGACCACTCCCTGTGACAGAAGGAATTGGTAATATTTATGCGAGATTGATGCCATCATCAAGCCGAAGACATGTAATAAGGATCCACCGAGCAAGACATATCGAGGTCCATAACTGTCATAGAGCTTCCCCACGATGGGTCCCTAGGGAGGTAATCAGACTTAGTACATCTTCAATTCGCTAGTGCTGGAGCAGGCACAGAAAAGTACAGACCATGAACAGCATGAAGAAGATTTCCAGGGATGTGATCCAAGATATGGTGCTTGAGGAATAGTTCTTCAACTGATGGGTTTCATAGTGGGCCTGAAATATCCCAATACCTTTATTTGCGGACAGAACGGTCAGCCGGTGATTAAAATAGGTGGCCCTAGACCAGGTAAGCCACTTACTATTGATCCATCCGTAACAACAGAATGAACAACACCACGCCCCCAACACAACTGTCCAGGCTTCGAAGCCTCCTTCAGGTGGCCCGTCAGCGGTGGCTCGCTCCTTTTCTACGCCACCATCTTGGCGCTCAACATCTCGACCAATATCGCCAAAAGCGACGGACGGAGCTCCCTCAGGAGCTACTTTCAAGGAATTGGCAGTCGTGCTCTTGTTGCCAGTAGCAGGAGGCGTTGACTGGTCTAGCTCTGGCATCGTCTTCTTTTTGTCGTCGTAGTCAAGGTCATTCATTGATGGAGAGGATTGTCGTGCGAGTGTAGACTGTGGCATAACGTTGGCCTTTTAAAGAAAATTATTTCGACGCAGCCTTCATTGACCTTCTTCGCCCGAGAGGTAAAGGAGGGTCAAAGACCCCGCTCCGCTCGGCCTCGGGGCTGTGAAAGCTATCGGATCCGCAGCAAAAGGCGCTGAGCTGTCAAGGTCGGCGCTGAGCTGTCAAGGTCGGCGCCGTTTCCACATAGCACCGATCCATGACCGCGTTCATACTCTCTAATATCGGCCCTCGGACGTATGACACCCGAGGTCGCCGAATCCAGATGACTAGTGTCGGCCGGTGCGGAGGGTCCGACTGTTCCGGCATCGAGAAGCTCGCATCCCCCAAGAAACCCTGGAGGAATATGTATCGCTATACCTTGCCAACTCGGATTAGGGCATGATTAGTACCTACTTTAGGCACTTGTCCTGCACAGATAATTCGTATGGTTCCGAACAAGGCCACTCCCCCTATGCAGACTGCCTTGTGTGACCAGCCTAATTTTAATCCTTTTATGCGTCTTAACGATGTAGCCGCCCCCTTTTGCAAAGAGCTCGACGTCGTCGTGGCATGTTTCCGTATCAGGCACAACCTTAAAGAATGCTAAGTGATCCAAGAGAGTCACCCGCAACGTTGCGAAAAAGCGCAACCAGTTTCTGCGGGACAAACATGTGAATGAACCATCGTCCTTCTAATCCTACCAGCTCTGCAGAGGGACAGGAAATGCACGCATACAACCCAATACACAGCCCAACTCTCGACGGGAACGACTTCCATTCTCGTCCATGTACGTGAGCCGTCGCTGCGTTAGCCTGAGGCGAGCCAGCAGTGCCGATCTACTTTTCCACCTGTGGCCTCGGCTCCGAGCTAAATCACCGGATGATAACCATATCCCCAGTCTCCATTTCCGCGGCCAAACGGAAGCGCAATGACGCAGTCAAAGGGAAAAGATTAGAGCAAACCTGACGGCCTTTTCGGTCTTTTCATCAATTTTGCCTGCTGAATCAGTTATCAGATTCATGCGCTCGGCCCACCTACCGGTCTTCTCATCCTAGTCAAGAAAAAGCCGAGTCTTGCGTAGATGCGGCTGACCAATCTAGTTTCCATAACGCTCCATCATTGAACTGGGCCTAGCCAAGATCCCGTTCCCGAACCCGAGTCCAGGTAGTTCGCTTGAACCCGGTGGTTGCGTCTGGACTGCACGACGATCTGGGCGGCGAGATGGCCCAAGGATTTGGGCTTTTTACACTTCCAAGCTCTGCCACTACCGAGACTGACGCTGTTCCCGGTGAGACGTTCTTGTCTTGGGGTGGCTATCATTCTCCTTTGGCCATCGTGGATGACACCAACACAGCCTTATAGCTATAGCTTTCGCTGTGGGATCTGCAGTTCGCTTCCTGATTTAACCCTTGTACTTGAACTATCTCGTCTTTCGCCGATTGAAGCTTTTTTGTCTTCTCTATCTTGTTTCAGCCCCATTGAACTTTAAAGGTTCTCGACCCGATACTCCGTATCGCTCAAATTAGTGATACAGCTCTGGTGCCCCAAACGAGCAAGGAGAACTACTAGCCAGCCCCTAGACACTATTGTATAAAACACAGCTTCTGATAAACTTGAAATCTCTTGACTCATTTGCTCGACCTACGGAAGCTCGGCATGAAACCGTTCCCACATTTCGGCTGCGCCGACATCCTCGTCAGCCTTCTCCTTCATTACCTCCAGCAACTCGTAGTTGCCAGTTTGCAGGTACATGATATGGTTATGCTAGTTGTCGTGTGTGAGCAAACTGGCCGCGAAATATAGACGTCGTACATACCTCTCCCATAGTAAGTTGTAAAGCCCCTTCAAATGGCAAGGGCTCATAGTTCTCCAAGCCTTGTTGGTTCTTGATCAGGCGGAGGATGTTGTTCAAAACTACCTCCCCCTGTACCATGCCAGCACGGCCTTGTTTCGGGCCGCCAGTCTGGGCGACGTCGCCGAGAGCGAAGATGTTCCCCTTGGAAGAGGGTAAATGGTCCACCTGGAGAGTTGACTTGACAATAATTTCGCCGTTGAAAGCTATGCTTTTCGGCGTATATGTAATGAGCATATCGGAATGGGGGCGTAGACCAGTGCATGGAATCTGATGCGACACAGATGGTTAGTAGTGTAATAATAGGGAACGGATACACCTTGCCATGTAGGCAGTTAAACGTACTACTAGATCCCAAACCTTTGTCTCTCCGGTCGAGAGAGTTACTTGGGTCTCCTCGATAACTGTTCCTGCCTGAGCTGGCAAGACTGGGCGTTCTCCGAGGATAACATCTATGTCCATCCCTCGTAAGACGTCAACGACAAAAGAATGCAGCTTAGGTCCAAAGCGTGGTAGCAGCTGATGTCTAGAATGCACCAGTGATATCTTCTTATCCGGGTACCTAGCCCGGATCTCTGTCACTAGTTCTATGCCGGCAGCGCCACCACCGACAACTGCGACTCGCTCGGCCTGGCTGATCCGCTGCTGGAAGCCCTGGAGCTCTGCAATGGCCTTATCCCGGGATGTGGACTGAAGTCGCGTTGGAGGCGGCTGGGCCGCCCCTGTAGCAAGAACCAGATAGTCGTACTTGAGCTGACTTCCGCCAGCCAGCTTGATGTGCGATTCGGTAATGCTGAGCGCCTTGTCCTGGATGATTTGGAAGATGCCGTCTGGTGCACCGGCAGCCAGGTTGTCGTAGGGAATCAGGGCTCGATGTTCGCGACCGGAAAAGACGGCATTTCGAGGAAAAGCAAAAGCATAGTGCAGATGAGAGTTCTTCTCGACGAGGACCACCCGATAACCCGAAGGCAGCGTATGGGCTAAGCGCTGCGCGACATGCGATCCTGCAAATGACCCTCCCACGACTACGACGTTTCGAGAGTTCGTCGATGGGTGATAGGTATGCCGATGGATGACAGAGCTAAGCCGTTGGATTGGTTGCTTCGCCATGAACTTGGCGAACATGGAGTAGAACTCAAGATAGACTTTCAACTTCTGCATATCCATCTTGGCTAGAGCTGCGTAGACGGAACGGGACAGTCGATTCAGGCGGCAAGCCGATAACAGCCCATAATGCGCGATCTCGGTGAAGACAGTTTACAAATAGTTTGGGGCTTGGGCACGCCTTAAACGGTCCCTAGCCGGCCGAGGACCCCCAATCGGATTATGCCTCAGGTGAAACTATTAGGCTTCCTGAAGGCCCGAACTGGCGGCGCCTGGAACGGAGTTATGAGAGTACCGGGCTGTAATGATCCCTGGTTCTTAGGCGGTGTGGCTACGGGATATTGAATTCACCGACTGCTTCAATTCGCCGAGCGGACTTCTTAGGCCATTCTTAGGCCACTCAGTAGTGAAATTGCTTAGATCTGTATAGTACAGCCACCAAGGGATTAATAAGATGGAAGAATTCACCGAATGCTTGATAAGGTACTTAACTAAAGGCCACTTTAAAGAAGAGTTTTTATGTAATTAATATATCGAACTGACTTTACTGTATTACGTATCTGCTACAATCTGCGCTGATTATTGCCAGGACCCCCGACATTCGTGATCCTCTTGCTGGCACGTCCGTGAGGGGCCGAGGAATCTCCACTTAAGTTCTGGTAAATATCTGGAATTTGGTGTCGCTGAGCCGTAGATGCAGGACATAGACTTGGACAGTATACCTACACTGACGGCATGGATTATTCCGGTCGCATTTGATGTTTCGGCGCAAGCGCTGGTCGTCGGCGTTTTCGCAATGGCCGACCAGGCTCCATCAGCACGCTGCAGGTATATTCTCTGAGAGATGGGGCGAAGGCGATCAAGCCAATATGGAGGATGTAGAGAAAAGTCGGTAATGACTTCGTTGATTGCGGTCTGAAGATGAAATCTATCAACCGCCCAGCAAACGTATGAAGCAGACGGCAAGAGAAGAAAAGGACGAGAACACCGGAGATAACAATCTATTAATCACATAACTGACAACGCCGATTGGCCACCACGGCAAATTTGGTGTAATCCTAGCCTATGACAAATGTGGCAGCCAGAGCCCCCGAAGACCAATAACAGCGCACAATTAGCCGCAGGGTTATACTTGCTCCCTGTCGCAACTCCGATAAAAGCTGTATGCATCCCTCAATCATCAGCCTTGCCCTGAGGCAACTCACCCATTTACCAGCCACACTCAACTACGACGATGGAGGAGAAGCACGGTCCAAGCACCTACCGCAGTAACGCGGTCTGGCTGCACGCTCCAGAAGTCATCATCTCGTCCACTTCAACGAAAGTTATACAAGTGGTCTTCGCAGCTGAAGCCGTCTTAAATATCGCCATTGTGTGAGGTGCTTGTTGAGAAGAGTGAGGGACGCAGGTCAATAGCTGGAGAGTCACGAGTAGGGGTCATGTAGGTGTAAGATTAATCTCTGGCCTCCTATCCTAAGGCCTAAGCCTGCTATAAATACCCTCTCCAGTGCGGCGCCGGCGGCTCGCAGCTGGAGGCACGTGACATCTATAGAGTATACCTAAAACTCTCCGGTAACTTATCATTAAGACTCTGCCGAAACTCGTCGCTTTTTTCTAGTCTTCCATAGACAAAGCTCTCCGTACCGTGAGTCAGAGTAGATAGACCCAGGAAATTTGCAACTTGCGTTCCTGACTAACAGTCAAGTTGTCTAATGTCCCGAGCTCAGCGGACAGAGTTAGTTTGGTATTAGAAGAGCAATGTTGATGTTGATTGATATAGAGATAGTTGTATATTGAGGTTCGTCGTTGCAGCGTCGTTCACGGTCAGACGAAGATTAATTTTATGGAAGTTAAATATATGTGAAGGTATGGTAGGCGGAAATATTATGACTAGTTGTGAACTTTCAATAACACTGAATCTTCTTCGGACTTTGAGCACTCGACATGCACTCTATATAACCTGCAGTGGGTGTATGTCTAGTCTTAGTCTCTACCTTCAAGGCTCCTGATTTCACTAGTACAAATGCGACCTTGGCTCGGAAAGTGGTCACGAATTGGGACTACGGCTAGACATGTGCTCCGTGGTAAGCTAGAGTTGGCCAATCGGGTTTCTCATGCAGTCATCATTTCTTATGCAGTCATCCGACTTCGTTTTCTCAGTTAGACAACGAGTGGCCGAGGTTTGGGCATCACACACGCAGCGAAGATCTAACTGAACGAGACTCGGCCTCAAATTCATTGTAGTTTGCAGTCATTACAAAGAAGCAACAGTACTCTTCAACAATGCCGAAAAGTCCTTGAAGGAATCCAGTGTATCTGTCCAAAACTCCCCTGATCATCTTGTTGACCCCTATCTCCTTACCTACCCTACGTCACTGATTCGGGAAACAGGGGACTGTGATGTGAGAAAAAAAGGACAAGCAAGTACAAGAGCAGAACCTTCTCCGCAGTTCGATACCAACTCCAGTTCCTCTGCTTCCTCTTAAGGTCTAGCTTCCGAAGCTTTGAGGTTCATGCCAGTTGCATCCATTTCTTATCTTATACGTACCATGCCCCAACCCCCTTTCAGTACCCCCCCCCCCTTTCAGTAACCAAAAAAATCGCCTTCCCATATAAAACTCACTAAGTTCACTTATATAAATTTCAGTCATTCTTGAACCTATTTATAAGTTATTACCTTTAATATATAAAAAAGTAGCTAGGGTTTATTTTTAAAGGTTAGCTAGTTATATAGGGCTGGTAGTCTGTAGTTACCCTATACTTTAAAATTTATAATTTAGTATTCTAATCTCCTTTTACTTTCTAATAATTCCTCCTCTTACCAGTCCTCTATAATTTACCTAAAATAACTTTATAATAGTCTTGGAGTGTTTATATAGAGGATAAAATAGCTAATACTATACTTAATATTATAGAAAATAGCTTATTATAAAACTATACTATCTAGAAATATAGTATATCTTAGCAGTTTATTTTTAATAGATTCTATAGCTAGATAGTCTTAGATAATTAGATTTAACCTAACTAATATTTATCTAGAAATTAAAAGGCTAATTTAGCTTTTTAGATTCTCTACTAAAAGTCCCTGGATTATACTTCTTCCTATAGTTAGATGTGTATTTATATTATAGCTCTCTTAAAATAATAAAATAAAAAGTAGAAATTAGAATATAACTAGATAGCTAAATTTATTAAATATTATCTAAAGCTTCTTAAGACTAAATCTGGAAGATACTAGAAGGCTAATAAATTTAATTTATTTACTTTTAAAGTAGTATACTAGTATTTTAATATTAAAAAAGAGAAGTATAAGTAGATTAAGCTAGAAAATATAGTAAATATTAATAAGAGTGATATTATAATTAATTTTAGTAAGTATCTAATTTTTTACTTATAGATTTAGCTAATTAGGCTTATTTTCTAAATTTAGATAATTTAGTAATTAGAAATTTAAATTTAAAATAAAAGGCTTTATTAAAAAATCTCTAATTCTATAACTGGATTTTATTTATTAAGGCTATTACTACAAATAGCTATTTGTTAATATCTAGTATTGTATTTAAGAATAAGAAACTTTAATAGTAGTAATTTTTAAAGAAATTCTAGAAATTTACTAATTAAAATTATATAACTTCCCCTAAAAGATAGATAGATAATTATATTACTATTAAGTAGCTTAAAAGAGTTTATTTATCTTAAACCCAGTCTGCTAATAAGTCTAATACCAGGCTTATTATTCTAAATAGATATAAAAATTATATAATAGTATATTTTTTAATTTATATACCTGTAAATTATTATTAATTTAAAATAAAATAAATAGATTATAATATACTTTTTAAATAATATCTATTCTTATTATCTTTTTATTTATTATTCTTATAGTTTTTAGCTATTAGATAATAGTATTTTTAATATTTTAAAAATAATATATTAAAAGAAGCTTAAAAAACTAGCTTCTCTAACTAATTCTATATCTATTAATAAGATTAATTTTATATAGGCTTATATTAAAGTATATAAGATTATAATAATATTAAAGAATATATTATCCAGTTTTAAAGTTACTAGAAATTAGCTAATTTTATAAGCTAAGATATTATAATATCTAGAGATTTAAAGAAATAGAATAGAAATAACTCCCAAACCTATCTTCTATTTAAGCTTAGATAATATACTAAAAACTAGCTGCTAAATTTATAATCTTAGAAGAAATAAAACTTCTAGAAGTTAAAAATAATATAGTATAATAGCCAGAGGTTTTAAAGCCTAAGAATAGGCTATTATAGTATATACCAGTAGAATTACTAATCTAGAGGAAGAAGTAGCTTATTTAAAGAGAGAAAAGAAAAGAAAAGCTATTTCTAATCTAAATAGATAGTTTATAATACTTAGCAAGGCTCTTATATAAGATAAAGCTATTCCCGAAGTTAGAGATTAAGGAGCATCTATTTTAGTAGATTCTGAATTAGAGGAGGAGGTAGTCTCAGATACAGAGACAGCTTTGGAGATTGAGGTTACAGCCGCACCTAAACCCCCTCAAATAACCACCAGGTCTGGGAGGCTTATAAAAAAGCCTCGAAAAGAATAAATACTTTAATTCTCTACAGAATAATATATATTTTATATTTATAGACTCAAAATTTGATAGAAATCTAGTCAATATAAAAAATAGATTTTGGGTGGGAAGGTGATTTTTTTGGTTACCGAAAGTGGGGTGGGGCATGGTACGTCTCAGACATTCTACGACTAGATATTCTGCTATCTGGCATGTTCGAGAAATGTCGTCGCAAACGTGGGGTAGTTAACGAAAACGGCGTCTGTCTTTCCATATGGCTGACCTGATAACGGATTAACCTTGCCACGAGTCGTGAATGGATCCGCTAACAATCCTCGCTCGGATCTAAAGATCAGCTGGGCATGTGCCAACCAAGAAGCCGCAAAAGTATCGGATTAATACTAGGCCTGGTGAATAAATTCCGGTAGACAGACCCAAGCCAAGTAAACCGATGCTCGATTGAATCGCACCAGACCAAGTACCACTGATCAGGCCGATGAATATTTCCGATACCGTACCATTGCCATGCGTGCATTATTTATAGCAACACGCCTTGCACAAGGTGGACGACGAGGTGTGGAGGTCCAAATCGCCAATATACGCATTGTTTATATATTAGCAACACTGGCTGAACTGACCTCGAAATTAAGGTGACTATCGCGAGGAGCGAACGAGAATTCAAACATTTGGGTTATGAATCACATCACCTAGTTTCTAGGCGTGACTTTGACATAAAAATTCTTCGGCTTCACAAACCAGTAGTTGAATGTGTTCCATCTAGCCCCTATTGGTTCCAACTCCGCCCCCAACTCAAAATTGAAGTCTCGAATGATGCGCGGAATTAGCTTCGACATTTCCAACATCGAGATGTGTCTTCCCAAGCAGGTACGAGAACCAAGGCCAAACTATAGAGTCACTCGATTAGAGCCTTTCGTTGGCAGATGTTTTACACAGTGTAGAACATACCGGGATCCAGTGGCGGTTCATTACTGAGAGTTGATCATCCTGAGTCAACCACCTTTCTGGCTTGAAAATGTCCGCGTCGGGTCCATAGATGGATTGATTTCTATGTTGAACCCATGCATTAATACCGACAACTGTCTGTCGATTCAATATGAATGTCAGTTAATGATTTTCAAATGATACTTTCTTTCATGTGCGGGTACGTACATCTTCGGGGAAGAAATAACCCGAGATTATAGCGCCACCTTTCGGGACAACGCGTTCTAACGGTAACCCAGTAGCGGGATGGATTCTTAGGGCTTCTTTGATAACTGCTTGCAGATAAGGCATCTTTTGGCTCTCTTGAAATGTTGGCTTGCCTGATAATTTCCCCTCTTCATAGAATTGGTCAATCTCTTGTTGCAATGTCCGAAGGCACTTGGGATTCCTGAGGAGATGGTAAAGAATCGCCGATAGCGTAATGGCTGTCGTGTCCGAGCCGGCGACCATGTTTGCTGTACAACCCATAGTTACGTGTGTGGATGTAAAGGTTCTTGGGCTCTCCTGGGACCTTTTAAGAAACTTGGTAAGGAATGGCACTGTAGCCGTAGCATCCGACTTTGATCCTATGGCTTTTAGCTTCGCTGCGTGTTCCGTGACTCTGTCTTCGGTAAATGAGATAACATATGCACGGCCACTACCTCTTGAACCAGTAAGATAGTTCCTCAGAGGAAATATCAGCCGATGCAAGCTTGAGAAGATACCCATTGGCGCTGCGTATGATACAAAGTCCTCGAGAGCATGAATGACACCGCCAATATCCTTGCCATGATCCAGAAACCCTAGTCGTTTGCCATATGTAATGAGGCCGATTACATCAAAGGCATAGCACTGGAACCAATGGCCCATATTTATAGGTAGTCCAGGTTGAGATAATTCGGATAGACGTTGGCAGAAAATATCCGCACAGTCATTGACATATTGTTCGTAGGAACTGACAGCGGTCAATGAGTATGTATTTTGGAAAAGCCTGCGGTGATGCGAGTGGCGATTTACGTCCTGGTCTGAGAAGAGGCTGATTTCACCTGGGCCAACCCAGGTGCTATACCAGGACGACTTTGGGAAAGTTTTTCCGAGCCCATATATAATCTTAGAAGATGCCGGATCATTGATGCTATAACGTCGCGATCCGTATCGTACAACAGGGCCTTCAATCAACAGTGTTAAAGTGCATGATTCCTACTGGCTTACATTTTTGAAAAGAACAGCTCACCATGTTGCTTATGCAGTGTGAGATTGTCTTCCTCGAACTGTCCTTGACGGAGGCGCCAAAAATACCACCAATCCGTATATCGTGCTAGAAATGGGCCAGGCACATTCCAGAGCGAGGAAAATCGATGCCGAATAAAAAAAGTAAGAAGAAACCGGATAGTAATGACCCCAACAAGGCCCAAGAGTAAATGTGGAAGTGCCATGCTTCTCGCCGTGTACTGCACGCGTTGATAATGGGTAGGTCAGAATTAGATTCCAAAGTCCCTAACGGTAGGTAGTTAAGATATATCACAAGGATGTCATTTGGGAAGATGCTACGACGCCTCTTTCATGGGCGTAACACGCAGTGGCGGCGGATCTCCCGGATTTGCAAGCCTTAGTTTCATGCTCGGCACCGCTCGGCATCTGAGTGTCTGTAACACCTTAAGCCAATTCTTCGCATCCTAGCTAAATCCCCAGATCTGAGTTTCCGCTAAACCCAGATTAAACTAACTCTTCTGGAGGGCATAATCAACCAAGGCCTGAGTCTGATGGTCCCGGTATGAACTGTCCCGCAGGGACCGAGCACCGAACACCGAGCACCGCTCGCCAATTACGGTGTACTATGTACGCAATAATCCCGGACAGACTAATACAGCCTCATCAGCCCTCGGTGATTTGTTAACATCTGAAGCGCCACCACCGACGAAATTCTCGGGTGGTTGCAGTGTAGTCGCCGGTTGTGTTCTTCTATTGACGAAAGTTCAGGCAACGTCAATTGAGTTCTTGTTATAACGTTGGCACGAGTGCATTTCACCATGCGCCCAATGATCCGTGCTATCAGTTTTCGGCATCCCAAACCTACAAAAAGGGTTTGGGGCTCACCAACATCGATCCTTAAATTAATGCGAAGAAGCAGTACAATATCTGTCGCGATGTATCCATGCTTATGGTATGAGAATTCCAAATTGAGTGGTACCTAGACAACTTTTATCGCATTAATATTTGCCAGTGAGAGAGCATTTTATTGCAGCGCTGTGATGTATTATTCTGGAATGTCAGAGTATGTGTGATCCTCTGATGCATTGTCAGAACCAGTATATCAATAGTATTTGCACTCCGTTCTAGCGGAGTGCGCATTTCCTTTTGGCGTAGCTGGCAATGCGACAGTTATGAGCCCGGGAGGCTACGGCCTGTAACTTCCACTGAAAATTGCTGTTCCGCTTCGAAATGTTACACTATAAAGCTTTTTTATTAGCTCAACTCTACACCCTGAGGGAACCGGCCCCAGTTTTTTGGGTCATGAAATGAAATACGCCGAACACCGAGGGATACTTCGTCCTTCGGTCTCGGGGCTCGAATTGGTGTCCCGAAATCATTCTTGACATCTCCTTGCCTGTAGAAAAATTCACCCCTTTGCCACGGACCCACTTCGTTTGAGCTGCCGAATGTTTTTAGCATCCCAAAGAATAGAAACTGTCTCTAGACGTGGCTTACAGTTTATCAAACTGTCACCGTGCACTGCCTCGTGTCATGTAGGGCTGCTTGATCGCACAGACGGAATCTCATACGTTCCGGCTTACATCTTGACCGACGGCCCCTGACGCCCCTAGCATCTTCGCACTCCGCCCCTCTCATCTCGGTCATGTCGTCCTCCATCTCCGTGGCATCGAACTTCCCTCCTGGAGAGTAAGCGGGTGCATGAGAACCCATACATACGTCACTGTGGGGCGAGGTGATCTCTACGACAACCTGGTGCCGTGATACCACAGGCTCCGGCTGCCGTTGTTAAATCAAAAGGCGCTCGAGACCTCCTCCACTGCGTGTCCACGTCACAGCTCGTGAAGATTAATTGGAGAACTAGTTCAATCTCGACACCAGTCCAGAGTAGAACGCCGAGCCGCCAGAGACCACGACGAGCGCCTCCGCGAACCCACCCCAATGGTTTCTACTGAGAGCCTGGAGACACCACCCACATCGTCGACCCAGTCAGAAGCAAGCACTATCCCGTCTTGAATAGAGATCCCGCAATTGCCTGTCTGAAGGATTATGGACCAGGACGTCACGTCCGCGGGCCCCGAAGACCCGAACTTTCGGAGAGTGGTAAGCAACGCCCCCAATGGTTCTTTGCCAGCCCGAGGGTGTGTGAATGGCTTCCTCTCAGAGCGCAGTGTTGATTGATTCTTCCCCTTAGTGTGACCGATGCCGTGCTCGCAAGGTATGAGACGTCATCAGCCCCTGAGCTGGTGGCAGAGAGTCTGAGGCTCTGGCTCCACGACCTTGTCCACCATGCTCGCGTTTGTGTCTCCCATTCCTACGCAGAATTAACGCGGACGGCCGTCGCCATGACAGATTCGCTGTGACAAGACGACGCCATGCGCAAACTGCCGCGTGGCGATGATGACCTGTAGCTCCATCGGTGGGACACATAAGTCCAAGGAGCCGAGACAGTGGGTTCTCATCTCTCACCAATAGTACGTTTACCACGAGGCCAGCCATTCAAGCATGGCACAGCTAACACACGTCCACCCAGCGAGAGGAAGATAGATCTCATTGAGGAGAGGCTGGACGGCATCGAGGATGCACTATGGGCCATCGCGGCTGGTGGCACCATTATCGGTTCGAACCGGGTGAGCCAGCGCAGTGCGGCCCCCTCAACGGCCTCGAGAAGCTTGCGCAGTATACACCCTCAGGCGGCGCAGACGGAGGTTGAGGACGAGGACAAGGACGAGTCAGATTCCGTCGTCGGGGTCGACTAGACCCTTACTGCACAGGCTGCCTTCGCCTGCAATTTTCTTGAGAATGCTATCCGCCGCCATACATTACTAAACGACCTTCCCCCAGACATGCAGTCGGCGCTGTCCTTGCTTCGCCAGATGGTCTCGACTCAGAATAACTTCTATTCAACCTGTGACTTCAAACTGAAACTCCAGGTGCCCATGCCGCCAGGAGGACTGTAGGGCCTTCCCATACCGCCAATGAAGATAGTGGTGTTCTTGCTGCAGATACAAAAGAGTACGTTAGCAACTTACCGCAGCCTATAATTATTCTACTGCGAGCCCGACTTCTGACTGTGTCTGCGTAGCTACTCCCCTGGGAATGTTTTCCGTTGCCTGCGCCTTCGTGGATTTAGACAAGCTCCTGGAGCTCTGCTGCAGGGTATATTTCCGCATAGACTCATTCTCCCACGCCTTCTTTATTATACTGAATGGCTTACTATACTACTTCCCTCCAGATTAGATCTATCTGGCTGAGGCCCCGGCTGTTAAGGTAGAGATGGAAGAGTACCGTTACATCTGCTAGGCCAACCTCGAGACGGCCCTGTTGATGCTGCTGCTTATGATCCCCGTAAGGTAAGCGAGCATCAGCGCACTGCTTATCGCTATAGGCCCCTCTCTACACCCAGATACTATTTATGCCTCCGGTAGATGCTGACGAGTTCTGTAGACTTGCTATGCTATTAATCTATTGAAGCTGTCTCTTACTTGGCACTACAACTCGAACGCGGCAAAATTATGTTAGATCCTCGGCTACTATTGCTCTCTGCTCTGTAAGGCTAAGAAGTCCGGCTATAAGGATGTTAGGTCTCTTCTATTCTAGAATATATATATATTAGATAGGACCCTGGCCGCGCGCCTCGGCCTGCCAGTAGTTATGTAGAATTGGAATATTATAGTGCTGCATAAGATCGACAGCTCTATAATTGAAGACCTATGGGGTCTGATTATGATAAACTAGCTTAAGAAGGCCGATCTCGCCTACCAAGTTTATAAATTACTATAAGCTACCCAACCCGTCCAGCCCGAGCATAGGTATACTTAACTAACCCTACAAATAGATATAGCCCTGCTACGCTAGCCAAGCCTAAGGCCGAACGAACTATAATTGCTCGGTGTCTATAGGTGGAGTAGTTAGAGATTATAGCTGCAGCCTTAGAGATCCAGGAACGGGCACTATTTGGGCTGAGGAAAGCCAATACTTCCAAGCTTATCGATATATATCTAAGAGGCAACAAGATCTTATACCGGTCAACCTAGGTCCTAATCCACCTGGCTATTCTAACTATTAAGGACTTACTAAGTTATTTTACTGCAGAATTCCTAGATAATATGTGTCACATATATCGGGATATCGGATTCCGGATGTATCATGCTATTGAAGCTTTCTTCCTTCATCATAGGCGTCCATCGCCACCTGCCTCGTCATCGGCCTCGTCACCGATCTCATGATAGTCCTAGCTTTTCCTTGATTTTTCCTATAGCTAGCTGAAGCCAAAGACTCCGGACCATCCGGAGCCTCTCGGCCGTCCGAGGTCATCCGAGGTCATCTTCATCTATAAGACTGACCTAGCAGACCTCAATTAGATAGGAAGAATAGCAAGAGCTTCTCACACATATGATCCTATCCATCTGCTAGATGCAACACTAGGTGCTGGGTGGTGCTCTTATTTATAATGGGATTCTTAATATAAACTTAGTTAAAAAAGGCATCGAGCTAGGTGTTGCAGATAGCAGTATTAAGCTTATTACTAATTATCAGAAGGGACTCTTTATAAATCGATGGGGCATTGCTGTATAGTGAGGAATTAGATATAAGACTAACTATAAAATTGCAGAGGACGGGCTAGTGTAGAATGCTATCTAGATTCTCGGGCAACAAGGCCTATAGCTAGGCAGGATCTATAGGAGTATTATCTGGCGCTTCCCTATTGCGATGCTTAGTGGCGCTAGATTGGAGAGGCTGGGGAGGCTAGAGAGGTTATAAGCTAGAGGCATCGAGTTTCTTCTCTAAGTACTCTAGATACTTAATAATAGCAAGACTAGCCGAGTTAAAACTAGACAAGTTATGGGGCGTAGATATACATATAGCTCCGATCTTCTAGCAGAAGGAGTATAATAGCTTTTTCTAGTTGCACTTGGTGTATTGCGCCCTACAGACTTAATATGCTATAACAGCCTGCTTGTGTGGATAGGCAGTGCTCACTTGGCTGGTCTGGGAAACATATTTGGTTACGCCTGTCTACTTGCTTAGCGGGCCTTCTATGTTAGTATATCTAGGAGATGTGGAGTAAATCGGGAGGTTGTTTAGGCGATGGGGTTATTGCTGCAGGTGTCGAATTGTTGGGAAGACGATCTTGTATAATGTGTGTTGAAGCAAGTCTACAGAAGCTCGGGGGAGTTGGTGCAGCAGCTGTGTTGTCGTTTGCCTCTCTTCCCCGCAAGCCACGAGGAGGTGAATTTATCTATTGTAAACCCCAAGCTTAAAAGAGTAAGCTCCGTAATACCCAGGGCTTACTTGGTTCGCTTTAGGAGCTGCTCTCTACTTACTTTACTACCTTGCCCTACTATAGTAAACCTGGGGAAATAAATAGGACTAGGCTTACTTGCTAGTCTAATATTATAGCGCGGAATGTCGGGTTAACTCTATCTATACTCTTAATTATAAATCTTAACGACCTATAGATACTGTAACCTTAAAATTCTACTGGAGTTTATTTTTCTACTCTATTTTGCCAGAGGTAAAGTTTATTTTCTAGTACCCTAGTAATATTTATTTATACTTAGCTAATTAAAATTAAGTACTTAGCTATATTTCCACTAACTACTTTTCTATTAGCTACTATACTAAATAATTAGCTACTACTCTATCTTTCTTTAGTTTTTATATTATATATCTTAAATTAAGAATAGGCAGTTCTAAGAAACTATAGTAAATAATATAATCATAAAAATAAATTGCATTTTTTAATAGCTGCCTTTTCTTATTATAAAGGCTATTACAGTAAAAGGAGTAGAAGAAGTAGAAGAAGTAGAAGATAAAGACAGAACTTAGCAATTGTAGGTTAATAGATTGATCAATTAGAAAACAGATCTAAGATTTAAAAAGAGGAGAAAGAGACAGTTATAAAAATATGTAGTTTGAAGTAATTGGTGGAGAAATACTTATCTTAATAATAGTAATTTAAAAAGACTAGCCAGGGAAATACCCTAGATTTATAGAGAGATTGCTATCTAGCTATATATCTAATTTAACTGGTAAAAAGAACAGTTTGTAGTAACTAGATAAAATATATACCTTATCAAGCCCGAGAAATCCAGACTTAATTATAATACTATATTCCTATTTTTATCTTTATATTTTATTATATAAGTCTATTATAGTTATATTATAAAAAGAATTAGCTTATAGATATAATATATACCATAATATAGCTAAAGATTTAGGGAATCTAAATATATTATTCTTATCTTTATTAGATAGATAATAGAGGAGATATCGCCTTATTAATTATATAATTTTTAATAAAAGTTTTATAGTTGAGAAATAGTATGTTAAATATATATTAAGGTGAAAATATAGTTAGGTAAGTTACTTACTTATTTAAGTTACTTACTTATTATATATATTAAAGCTTTTTATATATTTAAAAGAAGAATTTAATAATATATTAAAGTTTTATAAGAAAATAAAAAGAAATAAGTATATACTTTAGTTCTAGAAGCTACTAGGCTATATAAAGCTAGTATAGATAAATAACTAAGAGTTAAGGTATTATATAATATAAGATAGATAGAATAGACTAATAATAGAACCTTAAATTTAGGGGGAAAATTAAAATAGAAATAAAAGGTAGATAGAGTTAAGTATAATATAAAGCTTAATAAAAATAAAGTGTAAATTAACTAAACTTAAGATATAAAGTTAATATATAATATAATATAATAAAATATAGTAATTCTTTTCTAATAAGGGATATATTATATCTCCTTATTAAGAGACTATTAATAAGTATAATCTAGAATATTCTTATTAAGAATAAATATTATTAAATATAAAATTAAGGAAGACTCTAGACTTATAGTACTTATAATAATATATAGAAGGGTATATACTATTACTTTACTTTATTTTAAATCTATACTAAAAGCCTTAGTAATCTGCTAAATATTTAATAGCTATTATTTTTATCTTCTATTTATTTTTTACTAGCCTATATTTTAAATTATATGTCTTAAAGTTCTCTCTTTTTATTATTAAAATAAATTATAATAAATGACTAAATAGAATATTTATCTTCTTAAATAGATATTTTATAATCTTAAATATAAAAGCCTAGAAGAAGATAGTATTAGTAAAGTTATATATAATAAATAGTAGAAAATAGTATTAATTAATACTATTAATAGCTAGACTAGTAACTTATCTAATTATTATATTAAAGGTAAATAAGATTATTATACCTAAAAAAATACCCTTAAATCTAATCTTAATATTAAAGATTTCTATAGAAATAATTTACAATAAAAAGCTATATATAAATAAAAACAATATCTAGTATACTTAATTTATTATAATAAAAGCCCAGCTTAAAGAATATTAACTTAAGGGTAATATATATAAAAAAAAGGCAATTATAGCTATAATAATAATAAAATAAAGATAATTAATTAAATTGCTAATAATTAAGAGCTAGTAGTAGTTAAGTTAGTTAATAAAAAGAATAGTATAAAAAATTACTAAAGTAAATAGAATATTACTAATAGCTTAATACTTTAATATATTTTATATAGGGATTTTTAAAATAGTATAAATTTATAAAAAGAAATATTAAATTACTAAAATACTAGTTATTTATATAAATACTTAGAGTATTATTATAAGAATAAGATATTAAAAACTTAACTTATTTATAAATAAATTATAATATTCTTTAATAGAGTTTTTATACTTATATATAATAGCAGCTTTAATTTACTAA